GGGGGTGTAGGGAAAAACTTTTTCTTAGAACAGATGTGTTTCCAGACCATTGACTACAGAGTGTAGTCCCTAGCCAAACCTAGGGACTTGAGTGCTCAGTCTTCAAAGCTGGCCAGCTGCTCTGGAGCACAGAGCTGGGGCTGAACATGCTGCTGAAAGTTGCCCCAGGGTTGTGCCCAACTCATGAGTCATGTTGTGCAAGTTTGCAAAAAGAGTTGCGTGTCTAACCATAAATCCTCTCGTAGGTGTTCAAAGTACCATGCTCTGCTGGGACCTCACCTTCTGAGGTGCCATCCTGTAAAGCATCAGCACCTCTGCTGCTCCTGTAGAGTCTGTTATCCTGGACAAAATATGGTTTTAAATGTGCGCTAAAAGCAAGGCCAATGCTTTGGCAGAGTAGTTCTTCATATGTCTAATTGGAAATTCAAGCTCTGTCTTTAAACATGCAGCTCCCATATCAGCTGCTTCATCCTGACACCTTCAGATTTCGTGGGGGAAAAGCCTCAACTAGACTGCTCTTAAATGGTGATGCCTTAAACCTTCATGTTTCTAGGTGCCCTAGGCCTTGCTCTGGCCTTCCCTGAGGTTTCTGTGCACTAATCAAAGTAGGCTGCATGCTCTCATCAGTGGGGGGGTTTGTTTTCTTGTCTCGGCTGGAGAGTAACGAAATGATGGTGGGGAAGACAAAAGATTTTTCTTCGGAGTAGGAATACAGCATCAACACTTGTTTAATGGACCTAGCTTCCCTGTGAAGTGACAGAGGTCCCTACTCTGATGTATCCACTGGTGTTGGAAGCCTTAACTTGAAGAGAGGCAATAATGGGGAAGTACAGAGGTTTTACCTTTGTTCTGACCTCTAAGCAAATACTTGCTCTGAGAGATGTAACAGATAAGGATGTAGGTTTTATAAAATAGGCAACTCAGCTGTGTTTGTTGGATACATGAATTCGGTGCAGTGTTTCTTCCAGGTTACTTACAATGCTTCCTCTTGGAAGAAGTAACTGGGTCCCTTCACAAAACTTCCCCTGTTTACAGGCCAAAATAAGGTTGCACTTCAGCCTCCATGCTTCTGATAATCTTTGACCTATTTTTTGCCAGAGATAGTTATTCAGAACACCCTTATTTGCTCCGCAGGTTTCCAGTATGAACAGCCCCATAACATCCTTTCTTTCAGTGCATAGAACCACTAAATGATTCTTGCAAAGGGCAAAATGACTCTTTCTTTTCACATTCTCTCCTGCCAGGCTTCTTTTCCAAAAGCCCTTGTACCATTTTTTAAATAAATTTGCCATAATCTCCAGATACTAAGCTTTTTTAGTTCATTGCCTTTAAGCAAGTACTTGGAAGCTGAAGGCACTTTCCTCTCTTGTGCTCACAAGACCCCTTTAAATACCGCACATTGGTAAGTATAAAGAACTCCAAGACAGAACACAGCCATCCCTCTGGTATATTCCTGATCTCTGTGGTTCCCCTCTGTCCTTTTACCAACAGCACTGCTGCCCTTTTCGTTTCTTGATGTAGCACATCTCCACCCCTTAGATTTTATTGAACCTATCCCAAGAGCCTGGTAACCCTTCTCTCAAATTCCTTCTAGGTTTGACCTCAATCTGTGCAGACCAACCTTGCACCTATCTGTCCAGCTTCTCCAAGTACTCCAGCAAGCAGATATTAGTTCTTCTAAATGTATTGCTTATTTTCTGAAGCGATGGTTTTCTCACTTTCTAGCTTCTCTAGACACTTACACTTATGTTGTACTTCCATGCACGTCCTCTATTACCTTAATTCTTAGGGAAAAAAATAGTTTCGGTATCTGTCAAATTGTGACTGTCACACTTTTAAGGAACAAGTTTACAGCAGATAGCAGGGTATGCCTGCTTGCAGCTCTCTGTCCTTTTGTTCCCTGCTTTCTCAACCATCCTGTGCTTAGTTTTTATCCTTCCTGGAGGGGTGGCCCATTCTTCCCTTTCTTCCAATGCTTCTTTCCATTTCCCCAGTCCCACTACACTCTAACCTTTCTCAGGGGTTCTCACATCCTCCAAATTCATCTGATCTCACAGTTGGAACCCTCAGAAATGTGAGTGTCCCTACATTTCCCAGACTGTCTATATCCCTTTTCTCTGCTAGCACATGACTTCCGAATGCTCTTAGCCCTCAATCAACTTGCAAATGTCTGTCACCACTGGGGTCCTTTATACCCTGTCTCTGTGGGCTGCTCCATGTCCCAGAAGAGCTCACCTCTCTTGCCTTGTATTTCAGCAGCACCAAACACTTTCACAAATCCTCTGCTATTATTTTTAAGTTCCTAAACACTCA